ACCCTTTGACTTATAGGATACTTAACAGTATAATTGTAGGCATCTCCCCTTACTCAAGGACACATATCCTCCACTTAATTCAAGTGAATCTGGTCTGAAAACTGGCATTAGGTGAGGAAATTTCTCTGTTGCTATTATGTAGCCTAGGCTAACATGAGACTTAACCGTGTAGCCCAGGCTGACCTCAAACTCATGATTCTCCTATGTCAGCATCCTGAGTTCTGTGAATACAGGCATGAGCTACCATTCCCAAACCACTGCTGCTACTGCCTCTGCCTCTTCCTCCTCCACCTTTTCCTCCTTTACTCTTTGTCACTGTAGTCATCTTTATGATTCAAATTTCACTACCGTGTACTTGGCCTAGAATCCTTCAACATATCAAAAATAAAAAAGAATTTAATAAACATTCCAGATATTTTCTATTTCTTTCCACAATGATCAATAAACTGAAATGATATATTTCTGACTCCGTGCACTGGACTATTCTGAAGACTCTTTATTTTATTTTATTTTATTTTATTTTATATTTCTTTATTAAGAAATTTTCTACTCACTCCACATGCTATCCACAGACCCCCCCTCCTCCCTCCTCCCACCCCCAGCCCTCTTTCCCAAGCCACCCCGCATCCCCACATCCCCCAAATCGAGGTCTCCCATGGGGGGGTCAGCAGAGCCCAGCACACTGAGCCTAGGCAGGTCCAAGCCCCTTCCCACTGCACCAAGACTGTGCAAGGCATCACACCACAGGCACTGGGCTCCGAGAGCCTGCCCATGCACCAGAAACAGAACCCCATCACCCTGCCTGGGTGCCCCCCAAACAGTTCCAGCCAAACAACCATCTTCCATAACCAGAGGGCCTAGTTCAGGCCCATGGAGGTTCTACAGCCACCAGTCCACAGTTCATGGGCTTCCACTAGTGTGTCCGGTCATCTCTGCACGTCCTCCCATCATGATCTCGACGTCCCTCACCTGCAGTATCTCTCCTCTCTTTCATCAATTGGATTCCCGGAACTCAGCCTGGTGCCTGGCCATGGATCTCTGCATCTGCCTCCATCTGTCACTGGACAAAGGCTCTATGATGACAGCTAGGTTATTTGCTAGGCTGGTCACCAGAGTAGACCGGTCCAGGCACCCTCTGGACCACTGCCAGCAGACCAAGGTGGGGTCAACCTTGTGGATTCCTGAGAGCCTCCCCAGCACCCTGCCTCTTCCTATTCCCATGATGTCCTCATCTATCATGGTATCTTCCTCCCTGCCCTCCACTCTGTCCCTGTTCCAGCTTGACCTTCCCATTTCCCTATGTTCTCATCCTCCACTCCTCACCCTCTGCCACCCCCCACACCCAGTCCACTCATGTAGATCTCATCCACTTCTCCTTCACAGGGTCATCTATGTGTCCCTCCTAGGGTCTTTTCCTGTTATCTAGCCTCTCTGGAGTTGTGGGTTGCAGTCTGGCCATCCCTTCCCTCACATTTAGTATCCACTTATGAGTGAGTACATACTATGTTTGTCCTTCTGAGTCTGGGTTACCTCATTCAAGATAACATTTTCTAGATCCATCCATTTGCCTGCAAATTTCATGATATCATTGTTTTTTAACCACTGAGTAGTACTCCATTGTGTATATGTGCCACATTTTCTTTATCCATTCTTCAGTTGAGGGGCATCTAGGTTGTTTCCAGGTTCTTGCTATTACAAATAATGCTGATATGAACATAGTTGAGCATGTGTCCTTGTGGTAAGATTGAGTATCCCTTAGGTATATGCCCAAGAGTGGTATAACTGGGCCTTGAGTAAGAATTATTCCCAACTTTCTGAGAAACCGCCATACTGATTTCCAGAGTGGCTGTACAAGTTTGCATTCCCACCAACAGTGGAGAAGTGTTCCCCTTGCTCCACATCCTCTCCAACATAAGCTGTCTTCAGTGTTTTTGATCTTAGTCATTCTGATAGGTGTAAGATGGTATCTCAGAGTTGTTTTGATGTGCATTTCCCTGATGACTAAGGATGTTGAGCAATTCCTTAAATGTCTTTCAGCCATTTGAGATTCTTCTGTTGAGAATTCTCTGTTAAGCTCTGTAGCCCATTTTTTAATTGGATTGTTCAGTATTTTGATGTCTAGCTTTTTGAGTTCTTTATATATTTTGGAGATCAGCCCTCTGTCAGATGTGGGGTTGGTGAAGATCTTTTCCCATTCTGTAGGCTGTCGTTTGGTCTTTTTGACCATGTCCTTTGCTCTACAAAAGTTTCTCAGTTTCAGGAGGTCCCACTGATTGATTGTCACTCTCTGAGGACTCTTTGATCCTAGTGCACATTACTGTAACATAGTCATCTTAGCCCTAGTGTTCCGTGCCACCAATTGGTTGACAGCATCCCAGATGCTACTATTCTATTGCATTTAGGGACAGTAGTTTCCACTATAATTTTTGTTTACAAAAAGAAACCACAAAGTTCTCCAAGAACATTAGCCATAGAGGATAGAAAATTCTATTATTTAATGTTTACATAAACTTACAAATAATATGTAAGTTTATATACATATTAACTAAAGTTTTGTCACTTGTGATGACAATAGTTTACCCCCAAACCATAGATGTTCTAACAAAACCACGGTGCCAAGCAAGGGAAACCTCCTTTTAAGATTTGGTTCAGGGGATTCCAAGACGGCCCTCCCAAAAATATAGGCTATAGTCTTTGCCCACTGTCTTCCAGAATAAAGATGATAAGACCCTATTAGTGAAGAAATCCCACACTATAGAGACAGGACTTGGAGGAACCAAACTTGGTTCTGACCTGGAAGCCTCCTCTTTGAGGACTAGCTCTCATAGTATGGGAAAGAGCCATGCAAGCTGCTGAGAGAGAAAAGCAGTCAGTAGTCCTATCCAGTTGTAATTACTAAGAAGCACAACAATGGCCAGCACAGAGAGATATTCCAAAAGGTGCAATAGTGGTGCTTATAGCCTGGGAGTAAGCAACAGGCACCTGACTGGACTTGAAGTCTGATCCATAGTAGGGAATTCATGCCTTACAGTAAACTTAGTCAACTGCCCACGGCTGGTGAGGCCATGGAACCTCAGGGAGAACCTACTACTGCTACTTTCTTAAACCACTAAATTTCAAACTAAATTTTAAGCATTTATACTTATATCAACATATAAGTGTAGTTTTTCCCCATCACCAAAGAAGCTTTTTCTTATCAGCAGCAGCAGCAGCAGACAGAGACCATTACAGAAAGTCCTAACAGGCCAAAATGCAGTTAACAATTAACCATCAAATGCCCCTCCCCAGTTAATGCATTTATAATGCAAACCCTATACCTAAAGCTCAAGGAAAGTAGTGGAAGAGGATTCAGAAAATTTGTAAGAGCCAGAGGACCAGGAGATCGGCTATAAGACAGTATCTTCTTAAAAAATAATTCAAGAGAGCCGGGCGGTGGTGGCGCACGCCTTTAATCCCAGCACTCGGGAGGCAGAGCCAGGCGGATCTCTGTGAGTTCGAGGCCAGCCTGGACTACCAAGTGAGTTCCAGGAAAGGCGCAAAGCTACACAGAGAAACCCTGTCTCGAAAAACCAAAAAAAAAAATAAAATAAAATAAAATAATTCAAGAGAAAGAACACCAAAGTCCAGGGGGTAAGGAGAAGGGGATGGATCTGGAAGGAGTTTCAGGGAGGAGCAGAAGTGAATATAATCAAAATACAGTATATAAAATCCTCAAAGAAATAATAAAATATATTATTTTTAAAATGAATGTTGGCAATCTCTAATAAATTTTTTTTTTCATATTCATGGTAAAAGAGTGCATGCTGGTCGCTCTAACATTCCAATCTCTATAAGCTTATTCGGCCTAACCTAATGCTATGTCCTCCTCTACTTTATCCTCCACCCTTAATATCTATTACTAAACATTTCACTCATGTTCCCATCTGTATAAATTGGAAAACTCATACAGTTCTTTTGGATCTTAACAAACATCCTTATGCAACACACCTCACCTTTTAGTGCTTGCTGGGACTTGAGTCTAATTATATACCCAGAAATAACAGAAAGATAGTTAGGAAGGCCCCAGGAAGAATCTTGAGTGGTGCAAGGCAGCCTTGATATGAGATTCCACACCAGTTTCTCTGGCAAAGTAGAGTTCTTCCTTTGATGACACTGCTTCTATTAACAAAAGGAACTTGGCTAACCTTAGGGGTCCAGTGTCCTCAGTTTGTTAGCATGTGCCCATTTATTCCCATGTCAATTTTGAATATCCCCATTCCTTCCCAGCTAATGTCTTCACTTAACAAAGATTAGAGTTCTATTTAAGTTGTAACTTGCTCAAATGACAGTATTTAGATTCAATTTTTCATCATGTCAGCTCTGTCACTACAGGTAAAAGTCTTTCATGAAAGATTTCAACGTTTTCATGTCATTAATGCAGCACTTGAACTAGAAATCAAAAGCCTTTAATTCATTCCTTTCTTTTTTCACTTGGCAAAATCAGGAGCAATTGCTCAATCTCTGTAAACTCACTAAATTTATAAGGACACTCTAGGGTACCCAGCCAGGTGTGATAGTACATGCCTGTCATCTCGAATCAGGAAGATCAGGAGTCAAAGGCCAGTCTCAGCTACATAGTGAGTTCAAAGCTCCCCACCTCTCTCTCAAGTGTATGTGTTCACCAGGAAACTTCATTGAGTGTAGTCAATAGTGATATTTATACCTCTTGCCACATCATGCTATGTACTATCAGAGCCCTTTTTACTACTAGAAATAGAGACATTAGTGCTCTTAAGTCTAGTCACATTAGAGAACAAATTTCAAAACCCCAAAACTAATTCAGAAAACTTCTAAGACTCTGTTTCGCTGGAATGACTCTCAGTAGCAAAATTCAGCATTGGTCAGGGTTCTCCAAAATTAAAAATAAAAATAAATAGAACATATAAGGTCTGACATTCTATATTTTTTTATTTTGAGATTATAATATGATTACAGTATTTTCCCCTTTCCTCCCTCCAAACCCTCCCATAAACCCCTCCTTGCTCTCTTTCAATTCATGGCCTCTTTTTTCATCAATTGCAATTGTAGAAGAGAGGGTGAAAAGATTCTAAGAGCCAGGAGATAAGGGAGTTTGCTATGAGACTGTCTCTCTTAGTAATGTCAGAAGCTACACCCATGAAGTCTTACCAACATGGCTGCCTTAACATGACCTGAACAAGGACAACACCGACAGACACGCTAATATGGAGATGGAAAGCTCACAAGGCCTCAGCCCTAGACATAGAGCTACAGGCAACTAAGAGATGCTGAGAGCAGAAGAAATTGTCTTCCCAGGGAAGAGCACACCCATTCCTTACCCAACACCAAGTAGTCAGCCCTGAAAACGCACATATAAGTGACATTATCCAGACCAAGGAGGTTGTATTTTCTCTTTCTTTTAAGTTAACTGTCTTACATGATTTTTCAGAGCTAGAAAGTTCAAACTCTGTGACAGTGGACCACAAAGCTGGAACATCAGGAACACATGCTGTGGTCTTGAGGCTGAATATGCAGTACAGACAACAGCTTCGAACCTCAAGTTACCAGTCTTCAGGCAATATTCCTTTCACTGGAAAACCTGTGTTTTGCTCTCAAGGCCTTCAGCTGATTAGATGTGGTCCATTTTCACTATTGATGTTAGTCTTTTTCTTAATGGTAGCAAATTAAAAGTTAATTGTATCTATAAAATGTCTTCACAGCACCATTAAATATGAGTGTTTGACAAAACAACTGGGCACTGTATCTCATATTTCTAACTAACTATAACAGTCTCAGAAATACATTTTATAGAAAATAAATATGTTGAAGATTCTTAAAAGAACTCCAATTGGGTAAATAAGCAATTTCAGCAATGCTGTGGTGTCATAACAGAAATTCATCAATAGCCGAACTTGCCTATGAATGCCAATATAAGAGATATTGAGGCCTTTGATGCACTCAAGCTGATAAAGGAAACACTCAGTAATTACAGCAGCCCAGATGATCTTAGAAGCTACTCTGGCACATCTAACATTCCTTATGTGGCGTGTCTCTACTGGAAGAAAAGTAATCAGAAAAGCCTCAAGGCTAACACAGCTGAGTAAAAGGGAACTGGCATGGACGTTTGCAATTTGGAAGTTCTCCCTCAAGGCAAATTGAAAAGAAGCTGCCAATGTTTCATTCTTTATCACACCTTCTGTAATGGCAGAAAAAATGCTACAGCCAACTAAGATGTCTGCCTGAGCTATGTTACTAATAAACACCACAGTGGATTTTCTGGATACAGAAGGAAATGTCAATATCAGCATGACATACAGACTGGCAAGCAATCCCAGTAGAGTGATAATGGTGTTTGGAGAAGGTAGGACTAGATATTGGATGTATTTGAACACCAGGTACCTTCGGAGGTCTTTCATATGGTCTCGATGTTTTAAAATGTGAAGTTGGGCAGGATTCCTGGAGTAGGGTAGAGAAGAAAAATAATAGAAGATTATATGCAAAACAACTTAAAGCACTTGAAACTATAGTTCTGTGCAAGAGATTCAATGGTGTTATTATCTTTCCCATGGTTAAAACTAGTTTCATATTATGTCACACAGGCATATGAAATGACATTTTACTTTTGGTGGCAATTGATGGCAAAGAGAAAAATCTTTTTTTTTCCAGTGCTGGGTTTGGTGGCCCACATCTTTAATCGAAGCACTCAGGAGGCACAGAGTTCAGCAGATAACTGAGTTCAAGGCTACTCTAGTCTACGTAGTGAATTCCAGGACAGCCAGTTCTGTGCTAGAGAGACCCTTTCTCAAAGAAAACAAAGCAAAAAACCTTTCTTCGGTTTCAAAGCTTTCTACATATAAACTGATGTCTCAGTGTTTGATCTTTTCTTCTGATCACTTAGAGTAACCAAAGAATTAGAAGAAATGTCCCTGAGCAGATAAATTAACATATCAGAATCAGGAAAATTCTTGGAGCAGTTGTCTAGTGGGGAAAAAAAACAGTATTCTTCTTGATTAGTGTACTAGAAATGAGAGGGAAATGTTACACTCATAATTTTTAAGTGAAATTAAGAGAATGAAAGAAAATGTGATATTTAAATGTTCTCCCCTCCTTTACACAGAAATACATTTTAAAGCTAACAACTGTTTTTTCTACAGCCCCCAAATAATTCTTCATATTGGTATCCTTTGCATTTAAAAGTAGCATGCCTAGAACATTCTTTCCGTTCATCTGAAATCTCCTTTATGTCTTCTGTCCTATCTACCATCATGACACTAACGAAGAGCATTTTGTGAGGCAGGTTTTAAAACAACAGTGACATGATGAACCTCCTCATAAGGAAATCATTACACATTGATAGCATTTTCTAGTTAGGATTATCATTGCTGTGATGAAACAGCATGATCAAAGCAACTTGGGGAGGAAGGGATTTATATGGCTTATGCTTCTATATCACAGCTCATCATCAAAGGAAGTCAGGGCAGGAACTCAAACAGGGCAGGAACCTGGAGGCAGAAACTGATGCAGAGGTCATAGAGGAGTGTTGCTTACTGGCTTGTTCCTCATGGCTTCCTCAACCTGTTTTCTTTTAGAACCCAGGATTACCAACCCAGTGATGATACCACCCTCAATGGACTGGGTCCTCTCCCCTCAATCACTAACTAAGAGAATGCCCCCACAGGCTTGCCTACAGCCTGATCTCAGGGAGGCCTTTTCTCATTTGAGGTTCCCTCCTCTTAGATGACTTTTGCTTGTGTTCTGAAATGTAATTTGATGCGAAGTGTAAAGTAGGAGTATTTTCACTACAGAGAAAACTACATAAAAGTCTGTCTCTGACAGTATCTCAAAATTCCAGAATGCAGTTTGATATGTGAGCTACTTAAAACTCTTTATTGTTCTCAAGACAGCATGACTAAGAGAAAATACACATGGGAGACACAATTTAAAATGTCTAAGGGTTCAGAAAGCCAATTTGAATAAGTCCCTAGCTGAAGGTTAATAATTAGCTTCAGACTATCAGGGCCATTAAACTGTGTTGTCATACCTTTTGGATTTTCCAGGAGACAGGCTTTTCAGTCAGATAATTCAAATTTTTGAAGTGGGCCATCAGTTCAAAAGTGCTTATTTGCTCATGGAGTGTTCTGTTTGTTTTTAACACCATTAAACAAAGCTGAACAGCCACTTTGCAACTTTTAGTTGGAGTCCTGCAAACATCATCTCTAACAAACAAGGGAATTATGAACCATGTGCCTGATGGACACTACTCAACCAAAACTGTAGCAAACCAAATTCAAAAACATGTTTAGAATCATACATCATGATAACATAGGATTTGTTCCTGGGATGAAAGGATGACAGGTGGTTTCTTTTTATATTTTATATTTTGCACTGCCTTATAAGCTGGGCATGGTGGCTCACGCCTTTAATTCCAGCACTAGGGAGGCAGAGGCAGGCGGATCTCTGTGAGTTTGAGGCCAGCCTGGTCTACAGAGCAAATTCCAGGACAGCTAGGACCATTATACAGAGAAACCCTGTCTTGAAAAATTAAAAATAAAAAAGGAAATAAAAAGTGATCCTAATTTTAGTGATAAAAAAGCCAAGGCTTTCATAGGCTCAATAACTTGACCAAACTCACATATGACTGAAAAATGAAGGAACTTCTAATACAGGCCTGTCTAACCAGCAAATTTTTGCTCTTCACATCCTAACATGTTTTCAAAGATTCAACAAGAACTTACCTTTGTATCATTTTCATTAATGTATAATTACACGTTAGGATGTCAATACACAGAATTTTTCAAAAAAGTCAACCTTGGTGTATTTCTTCTTTCCCCACCTTTAAAACCAATCTTTTAAATCCTTCATTATTAAAGTAACCTTGGGGTGATTTTACAAAGAACTACAGGCACCTAAGGAATGCTGAGAGTGGAAAAAATAGTCTTCCCCAGGGAAGAGCACACCAACTGGTTATCCAATACCAAATGGTCAGCCCTGAAAACATATATCTAAGTAACATTATATATACAGACTGAGAAGGCTATGTTTAGAGATATAGATGTGTATACACACCTGCATGCAATAACAATTTTTTAAAGGCTGTGAATTTGAAAGAGAATGAGGAGGGGGATATGGAAGTGTTTGGAGGGAGGAACGGGAAGGCTGAAATGATGGAATTATATTTCAATTTTTAAAAAATTGGAAGGAAGGAAAAATATCTTAGGTGATTGGCACAGGCATAGCAAAAGACATGGGTTTCAAGGTATTTACAAATGGAATAAAAAGAAAGGCATTGGGTACATTATGAAATACTGAAAGAGGAAAAATAAATAATGAAGACAAAATAAATGCCCAAGAAAAATATCTTTTACATGTCATTTGTTCAAAACGATTTGAATCACACAAAAAACAAACAACAACAAACCATGTTCAGGTCAGGTCTTATATACTATCCCATGTGTCCTTTCCTATTTACTTCTTTCTCACTTTTAGAAGAAGACCAGATGCCTTATTCCAATCATCTTTGAGAGAGAGAGAGAGAGAGAGAGAGAGAGAGAGAGAGAGAGAGAGAGAGAGAGAGAGAGAGAGAGAGAACTGGAAGATTCCTCCCCTAGCCCCCCAAAAATCAATAGTCAGCCAGGCTAATCTTAGTCTAGTCATCACATTTATGCCTTTGTTGATGAGAAAGGGGTTTCTTTCATGAATAATTCTTGGAGGAAAGTGGGCCAGGACAGGGAACTGAGTCAGAAAACTGCTGTTTAGAATTCTGTAGATGACTATATCTCCTTATCTGGGCCAGTAAATACCACTTGAAAGACCCTTGCATGAGTGAAGACGTGCAAATGTCAAGTTACATCACCTCTGAAGGATGTGAAACCCAACAACTCCCAACCACACAGAAGTGTAACTATGTACTATGATTTCTATCAAAAGCAATCTGATTGTGTTTATCGCATTCATTGTGGTAATAGCTTTGTGCATATGTGCGTATGCTCAAACTTGTCACATTAAAGGTGATAATTTTTGTAAGGTGTGTTTCATTAACTATTCTAAAAGAGAAATGTAAATGCATTTCAAAACAAAAGAGCAACCTGAAATCTGATTGTGTGAATTAAAGTTGATGAATGGACTCTGTTTACATTGCCAACCTTAATTATGGGTGCTCACAAAATACAAAGTGCTTTTTTTTAATTGGTAAAAGCCAAGTTAATTGCTTTATGAAGTCAGACTAGTCGAACTGAAAATGGAAAATAATACCAGCGGTAGTAGGATTGACTATACAGTTTCGTTTCCTAATACAGCAAGACAGTCTCTAATCGGTACTGTTATAACACCAAAGATAAAAATATTTGATACAGATTTGTAGCCTGCCCTCCATCAGTTCAGAATCCAGTAGGAAGAACACAAACAGAAACGTGAATATGTACATGCATACAAAAATCTGCTAACAGGCAGTAATACATAGTAAGAGTTAGGTCCTTAGTGAGTACACTGGGTACAACAATTTAAGGGAAAAAAAAAAGAAACCTCACGTTCACATCTGCTGGTAATTTGGCTACATTTTTCTTCATATCCAAACTGACATACATGTTTGTTGAGATTAGTTACAGACATGCTTAATGCTTCTAATTAGACATATTCAGAAATAAAGGTCATACTCACATGATGATGAAGAATCCAACCGGATACACTCCCCAAGGGGCTGGTGTAGGTAAACAGTACCGGGTTAAACTTTTGTTTATATCTCTTGTTTTCTGGGCTGCATTTCACTGGAAGCCATGGGTAAGCTGTTCATCTAATGGCTCTGCCAAGGAATTTGCTAAAGCAGATTTCACAGGAAATGTCTGAATCACTGCTCTTAATAGTTTTGTGTGTGTGTTTGTGTGTGTAATGTGGAAAAGTTGATACTTCGATTTTTGCAGTAACTTCTTATTTTCCCTTTGAAGATGTGAGGAATGCAGTCTTCATCAGTTGGAACACCACCTGAAGTTTTGAAGAAGTTAAAGCTTGGCAATTTAAATCCTTTGTGAAAGAAGGCGGGATAGCAAGTAAATAAACATCCACATGCAAGGGAAATAAAATGGAACTTCATGAGCGAGTCAGATTCTTAAGGCTGCAATACCCTAAAACTCACAACTTCTCAGTGATTCCATAAGGGTTTATGCTAAGAAATGCAATGGGTTTTTCTTCATTTTTATCGTATTTTTACTGAGTGTGGTGTGTGTGGGAGTTGGGTGGAGAAACAAAGACTGAGAAACAGGACAGAGACAGACAAGACAAGAGATACAAGGAGAGAAAAAGTAAGGAAGAAAAGAAGGGAAGTTCAGGGATTTTAATATGAATATTCAAGTAAAAGCAAATTCCAAATACTGCCAGCCTACAATGGAGCTTAAGTAACAATATTAGCTTGTATCTATGCTTGTCACCAACCTTCACATAACACTTTAAAAAAC